AGCGTGTTTGAATTAAAAGACTAAAATAATATTTATGAGAAAATTATTTTACAGGCACTTATACTTTCTCTCCATTTTTAATTTGGTACATTTCTTTCTCATAATTAAATTATTTAATTTTGATATGTTAACACCGTTAGTCTTTACACAAGGGCTAATTGTGCTAACAAATTAAAGTTATAATGTAAAGAATTTAATTAAGAAGAAGAAAAACTACCAATACCAATTTAAAAATTGAAAAAAATATAAATATCTACAAAATAGTTTTTCTTAAAAAAATTAAGGATTCTTATAAAGTTGAATAATCAGATGTAGTCTTTTGCCTTTTATTTATATATTTCTGTGTGTATTTGTATATAGTTCAAGAACTGTCAAGTGAAGTCCTTTGGGGCTACAAATGTGATCACCTTTCGATATTTTTAATGATATTAGGCTTATGATTCATAGGAATTCGGTTGTTCAGGTTTACCATGTTCATAGGAAATGAAACCATACTGCTGACTTCCTACCTGAATTATCTCACACTATTGTCAATAATTTTTGTATCTTTAGTCAACTTCTATCTTAGTGTCCAAAAACAAAAAATGATGAATGAGTTTAGATGTAATCTTTTGCTTTAAGTAATGTTATCTAGTTTTTATTGAAAAGAAAATTGTCAAGTCCTTCACGGGTGGTAAACATTGTTGTCAAGATTGGATCTACGTTCCACATTTTAATATGAGAGAATTACAACGAGGTTTCAAAAAAAAAATCTCAAACAAGTTCTAGAAGTTATAATTTCTTACTCTGAAACTTGTCATTATAGGCTGCTCAGGTTGTTATTAGAATTTTTTAATAGTTATATTTTTTTTTGTGGGACTTGATTGTGATTATCCCGTTTAATATTATCCTTATCCTTATTCTTATTCTAGTGAACATAATTATTAAAATTCCCTCAAAAATTCATTCCCATTTTCATTTCCTCCAAAAAAAATTCCAACAAACAAATTGGGCCCAATTAAATCTTCTCATCGCGTGTGAACAGTTTATTTTTTAAGAAAAAAATTTAATAAAATTTTATCGTCATAAACGATTTGAATTAAAATAGTCATATGAGATGGGTTTTAATAGTGAAAAAATATTGAAGAGGGTACAATAATAGGGAAGCATTATTTGTTTTTTTTTTTTTTGCCAAACATCTTCACGGTGTTGTCCTTTCAAGTCCAGCACCATCAAGGAAGTTTCATCACTTAATTCTTGTTCATGAATAATGACATATATTACTTGGACGCTCAGTGGTCTAAGTCAAGACACTAATAATTTTTATAAAATAATAATTTTACTTTATTTTATTTTCTGTCCACTTAAAAATAAGTACAATGAGTTTAAATGGATAAATGGAATGATGGGAAGAATATTTATTGGCAGTGAAGTAGTTCCTTTTCAAGCAATGTAGTAACTAAGAAAATAATAACGATGATATTTAAACCCATCTTATAAACAAAATTCAGTAAAAATAATTAACTCTTTCTCCTCAGATGTTAATGACCAAACAACGAGAACTCCTTGAGGTGATAAGGTGGCAACGCATTATAGCTCTTCAATTTAAAAGTTATAACTACTCTTTGTTATAACACAATAAATTTTCAAATCAGAACAACAAATAATTATTATAATCTAAATGTTCAAATTAATTGAACTTGGCTAATGGCTTTGTGGCTTGACAAAAATAAAACTGACTTGTTGTAAGTGAGAGGTTGTGAGTTTGATCTCACTTGTAATTTTATATTATTAGTTTTTGTTTTTCTATTTTTTTTAAAAAAATTAATTGGACTCACGATTGCGAGAGAGATGGGAATTCCACGTTCTAAAATAATATCTTGATTTATTAAGTATTTGAAAAGTGATAATCAATAATGGTTCGCAATATATACTCCTTCCATCCTATTAATAATGTAGAAATAATATTTTTTTATTTTTAATATAATTATTTCATTAAATTTATTATATAAATGTATATTTTTATTGCTAATTTGTTGCTTTGCGGACTATTTTTTTTTTTTGGATTTCTCGATTATAAAATTTGGATGAAATAAAAAAAGTCATTAAACTTTAAGATAAAATTAACATATTTTAATGTTTTTCTCAAATCTAATAAAATATTAGAATATATCAAAAGTGCGTTACAAATAAAATATAACGAATGAGCCAGCACCTCCTAAACCATTCTTTGATAGCACTTACCGCAGGTTAGATTCTTGTTTGCACTTGGAGTGAGAATTTTCTCCGCTTAATTTTTTTTTCCACTTCTTTTTTATCAACTATTTTTATGATTGGATCAATATTATAAAAAGTGAAAAAAATAAAATATTTTAATAAAAATCCACAAAAGTGATGTATGTAAATTAATTTCTAATAGTTTACATATACTACTTCCGCTCTTGATTATGTCTACAAATAAAGTCTTATAATTAGAATCGAAAGTAATATATATGCTACTTTATGTCCTAAATATAAAAACTAATTATAAATTTAATATAAGACTCAATCTACTTTGTCTCTATATATATTTTTTAAAATAGTCTTTTTAATGATTGCACAGGTTAAAATTTTTCTATTAAAATGTACATTATTAACAAAAATATTTTAAAAAAATAAGACTTATTCATTATAACTAATTAATTTAAATATTAATCATTAAGGGAAAAAAAATGAACGATTGGGTAAAAGAGGAAGCATAAGGATACCAAAAGGAAAGGTACAACTAGTTTGTCAACGTGCTATTTTTTTTAAAATTAATTCTTCACAAGCGATCAAAGCCTGCAAGTTGTCGCACACAGTGGCAGCGTACTTTACGAGAAAGTAATTTCCTTTGCAGATATTTATTAGCGGACGCCGTGCCTTCGAGAGGTCTGCATGTGCTCATAGCGGGGCATGGAACAGGCATGGGCGCAACAAGTGGAGAAGCCTCTAGTTGTTTGTTGTCATTTCAAGTTAGCCCTCTCCTAATTGCCTTAGTTTTTTTTTTTTTTAATTAATGCAAACTTTAATTTTTTTTAGTTTACTTTAGTTTTTCACATTTTAAATTGTAGGTTTTGGTTCTTCAAATTTTTTAATTTATAATAGCAGTCTTTATAATCTAATAAAAATTTAGATCATTTTACTCTTTGAAAGATCAAAACTAAAATAAAGACAAATTTAAGAAACAAAAAATTATATTTACTCTTATTTTTTCCTTTGGAATTTGGAGTTTGAATCCTTGATTATTTATTTTGTGATCTTAGAGCTAAGAGTTAATTTTATTTTGATTATAAAAATAAAAATTTAATTCACTTTATTTTTTAAGTTTATAAATTTTTTTAAACTCATCCTACTCATTACATACAGTAAAAGAGTTTTCCACTAAGAAAATAATTTTCAATGCAAATTATTAAACGAGATATTAAAAAAATCAACATGTTTAACTTAACTTAAAAAAATATTAGGATTAAAAAGAAAAAAAAATATTGGGGGTGAGCCATAAGGTAATCACATGTAATACCTACCCTTCAAACAAGCAAAATGACGAGTTTGATTTGAATGCCTCTAAAATTCTTTGTGCCTTTCAGTTTTATTGATGCCAGTGAGAGGGAGTTCCTTAAAAAGTGCCATCACTTGAAAATAACAAGCCTATAATAATAATAATAATAATAATTCAGTTCATGCATCTTCCCTTCATAGGGCTAATATTAAATAACCATCTGAAATTGACCTCTCGCAATTATATTAAACTCAATAGAGTTTTACTCATTTATCTAAAAATTTTCAAACTTTTAAATTTTAGAGGGGGAAAACTATTCTGCAGTTACTTGCTTGCACTTTTTCTTGATTTTTAATTTGGTACTTTCCTCAATAAACATTCTTAGAGAAAGTATAAGTATATATAAAATGATTTTTTTTCTAAATTTAAAATTATAACATTTTAATATAAAAAAATTCGAATTTATAATCTAAATGTCAAATTAATTGGACTTCCATCAATGAGCGATCCAAATTCCACGTTAGGAAATAGTACATATCTTAGTTTAATAGGTATGTAAAAATTACCAATTGTTCTCGATATAATATGCATTAAAGAAGATGACCAATTAAAAAATAATTATAAATATTAACATTTTTCACCAAAAATTTTTAAGGGTGAAATATTAACCAAATTCTAATACATGATTTGGGCGATAAAAGAAACTACAATTTCCACAGTCCAAGGAGTAAAATTTACCCCCTCTTATCCCATAGACTACTACTCCTCCAGTCCTTAATATAAGACCTATTTAATTAATTTAATTAGATTAATAAAGTTATGTAAGTTAGTTAATTATAAAAAATGTAACATGTTTTTTCTAAAATACCATAATCATCTTTCTTAATATCCACTCTTCCTCTTCTATTTGATTATGATTGAGAGAGTATCTATAGGAGTAATTTAGAGAAAATTGATAAATATGATAAATGAGTTTTATATTTAGAACCAAAACTAACTCAACAATTGTGTCCTATATTAAAGACCGGAGGAGTATATGATATAGTATTGAAGTAATCATAGTCTTATTTATTTACAAAAGAATATCTAAAATTTTAATTAATTTTTTATCATTAATTACATATTAGATCCTTACATTAATTAACTAACATTTTTTCCTTCACATCTTTTTTTACTCTTCATAAATTGATGATATCAATGATATTTATTTAAAAAAATACATTTTTTATGCTCACTTTTTAATTTACATCAGAGTACCAACAAAGCAATACTTTGCTTCAAAACGAGAAAGACTAAAATATTCTTTCTCGCCTCGCCAAGCCATCAATCAAAATCCATCTTAAACACGTCTATCCTCAGATCATCATTTTAATTCATTAACCTCAGATCAACTTGACCATTAACTATCAACTTGCCAGCATGACGCCTCCATGCCGACATCGAAAATGTTGACGCTTCAATGTCGACACTTTTAAATACGTCTCTCGAAATCCCAAACTCCAACTACTACAAGTAATTCCCCCATACACCATCCAATCCCCGATAGACATCTTCACACCAACCGTTCAAAACTTCCCCATCGATCCTTCGTTGTCAGCTCTCTCTACCCCGCCCCCCTTCTAATGCCGGTCAATCCGAAATCACTACATGAAACTGGAATCTAATCAAATCCTACATATTCATCCCGGAAAAAAAAACAATAATAATCAAGTCCCAGATAGGTTACTATTGACTATTTCCCTGGGTTTTTATCAGAACAAGGAATTACCCAGAAGAGAAACAGAGTGAGGAACAGAAACAGAGTGTTGTTTTTGTGAGTGGATAGTTCAGAGGAGGAAGGACACAACCTGGGAAAGCTGGATTGCATTCATGAAACCGTAGCTGCATTTGCTTTTTGTCAGAGGATGGGCGATCCAGCGTACAGGGTGGAAACAACCTCACGTCTTGCCCAATGGCGAATCGACAACTTGACTTCCTGCACTTACCGCAAGTCTGATCCTTTCAAGATTGGCATGTGGAACTGGTATTACCACGTTCTCATTCATCTGGTGCATCAGAAAATTTTCCACAGAAATGGAAGGAAAGTTTGCCACTTTTGACTTTTGAGTGTTCTTCATTTGAATTGCAGGCATTTGGTTCTAGAGAAGAACAGGGGCATGTTTGTTAGGTTATACCCAGAAATGTCCAATCTTTCTAGAGAAAAGCCACCCATTGTATCTCTAATCTTAAGGGTCGTTAATACTTGTGGAGATCGCAAGGCCATGACTCACTCAGGTAATCAAATTATTGTTGGGTTGTTATGTTTTTCTGTTTAGCTCTAATTCAACATAAGTTACTGATCAGAAGAATAGCCATACTACTAAGTCTCCAGCTTAACTTATAACTGTATTCATTGTTTTGATTCAGCCCCTAAACTTTACCTCCCAAATTCAGCTCCATTCAGTAAATTAATGAACTGTTGGATAGATCATTGCTGTCAGTCAGATATGTCAATTTACGAAGATGATAAATCAAAATGAAGATGATATGTTAGAAACTAATTTGCATGAAACAAGCTTAAGACCAAATTATAACTAAAAACAAATTTGAGGGATAAAAATACCGAGGTGATATTTTTTAATGTCTTCTAAACTGGGTGGGTTAGATATTGCACTCCTGTTCTAAAGGATGAGCCGATGAGGTATTGATTTGAAACAGAATTTAGGAAATTCCTTACTTTTCACTCTCCTTAGCGTGTTCTCATGATACTTCGATGATGGTTTACCAGTAAGAAGTTCAGGTTTACAGCAGTTCGTTCAGCATTTGCTTACTCTGAAATAACTTGTGACGCAGAAATAAAAGACAAACTGATCAAGCCCAGTGAAGACTTCGTTTGGGCAATTGAGGCCCCACTGACTGGAAAATTCATTATTGACGTTGAGTTCCTGGATTTGAAGACGGCATCCCCCAAGGTTCACAAATCTTTTTCCTTTTATTGCGACTAGGCATCCTTTGCAAATGATACTTATCCTAGGACAGATAGAATGTGGCAACAATTAATATCATTATCATCACCACTTAATTAAACCTCCCAACAATGGTGCAGCATGATCATGGCAGATACGCATCTAATCTTGCGTTAATACTACTAGCATATTACCTTGTGCACTGATTTGTCTTGAAACAGGATGAACCTTGCTCCATCTGGGATGATCAAATTATGCAGAAAACCTCCAATGAAACAGCCCTTCAATCCCTTAGTCGAATGCTAGCAGAACACATCCACACGGACATCATGATCAATGCTGCAGATGGAAGCATCCAGGCACATCGCGCTGTTCTTGCTGCTCGATCGCCTGTCTTCAGCAGTATGTTCTCATATAATCTTAAGGAGAAAGAGTTATCTGCTGTAGACATCCCAGACATGTCAGTTGAAGCTTGCCAAGCCTTTCTCAATTATCTTTATGGGAGCATCAAGCATGAAGAATTTCTGACAAATCGGCTAGTCCTTCTCTATGCAGCTGATAAGTATGACATATCTGACTTGAAAGAGGCATGCCATAAGAGTCTTCTCAAAGATATTGATTCCAAAAATGTACTTCAGAGACTCCAACATGCTTCTTTATACGGATTGCCGGAATTGAAGATGAGCTGTATGCAATATCTTGTGAAATTTGGTAAATTATATGACATTCGAGATGATTTCAAAGAATTCATGCAATATGCAGACAGGGATCTAATTGCTGAAATCTTCAATGAAATTATCACTACCTGGAAAGGATTCTGAAGATCTTCCGGTTTCAAATGGGAGGATCTAAAGGGTTTCCTTACAAACCAACCAATTAGGTTGTTTTAATATATGTTCTGCAGGATTTGTCACAATGAAATTCTTTTGTTCAGATTGAATTTTTTCACCATTTCCATGTACATATTATTTTAGGATCTTTAGCCTTCATATGCAAACCAAGCTATTGTTTTTCTTTTCTTTTTTTTTGTGGGGGGGGGGGGGGGACCACTAAGCTATTCTTGTTAATGAAAACACAATTCTATATTACATAGAACTTGTGTAATGCAGAAGTCTTTGATGTTTGTGAATAAAGTATTTTATTTTCCAAGTCAAGATGACTGTACACTACCTTATTCAATAACGACGGACACAATAGCAACACCTAACAACATATACACGGATAAGGATCAGGGAGATAATGAGATCAAAGTTTATAATGCATCAATTGAGGCAAGAATAAATCATGTCCAATATCAGTTATGAAACATACTATTATTATCACTTGCCATGAACCTTGCTTACGAACTCCAACATAGTTTGCATTCATTTAACATCGCAAGTAAAAAAGCCTTCTTATTTGTATGTTTACATCAACAACATGCAATCAAATATGAATGCACAACTCCAAATACCAGCGCAATATCGGAGAAAACACTTAAGCAGGCAGCAAAATCAACAAGAGCATATGACAGTAAGGAGCGTGAATGCCATTTTTACCTTTATAAGAAAATTGTGACATTCTATTGGCACACACGGAAGATCTTGTGAATTCACTAGATTTTAGGAAATTTTAACAATGGTAGAGCTAAAACTTGGACAATGCCTTCTGAACTTCAGGAAGAAAGTTTCTTCCAAGTCCCTTTATTTCCCTTGTTCTCCTTTTGATCTTGTCTCATAAAGCAACATGAAGATGACAAAAAAAGTAATTTGGAAAGTTTTCTACATATCCTTCTAAACAACAGATTAATATTGGGGAATATGACCCTAAAGTTGTTTAGGGATGGGATTTGAATTTGGGAAGGACACCTATGATCGACATACCAAAAACCAAGTTTGAGTTTTTCTTAGAATTAAGGTACTGATATGGAATAGAATGAGCTAAAATTATTCAGTTTTACAGTCAGGAACATGATGCTCTTCTATAGCTTGCATAGTGATATCACAGAGTGGCCAGAGCGGCAAAAAAAGGGGGAAAAAACGACAGTGGACTAATATGCAGATTAACATAGATAATTAGGCAAACATGTCAAGGGAATAGCCTATCCGTCGGTACCATCTAATTGGACCAAGTCATCCATGGATCAAAGGAGTCAACACATAGGGACAATGGCAGAGGACTTCAGGACCATAACAGAAAATGTAATGAACCTTCTTGACATAAAAATAAGGGCAAATTGTTGTGCCATGACCTTGCTGCGGATTAAAAATAGATCACTAGCTATCCTTCTTGTTCAAAGTGTTGTGACTTCCCTTACTATTTTATAATACATCACAAAGAGCTTCCTTCCATGACATTTAATAAATAAGAGCCATTTGGATAATGACAAAGAATAGACTAGAAGAAGGAATGAAAACAAAATAATGCTGAGGATTAAAATAAGCCGGTCTTCCTACTTTCAAAAGTAATGGAAAGAGATTAAAAATGTTAAATAAATGGACGTTAATAAGGGCAGAAATAGATAAAAGATAAAGGGAAAGGTGAATGGCAAGGGAAGTTTCTTTTTTCAACCGCACAAATAAAACTGCATTCACAGCTCTCCACTGCTCTACCAATTCCCAGTAACAAAACACCTATATGGTGTTGTGTATGTAAAGGGGTGTGTCAAAAGTGAAGTCCCACATTACCCAAAAGAGAGAGAGCTCAAGTGAATAAATACTATCATACATTATTGGGCTAGTGAATGGGCCTAGAGGAGAAGGAAGACCTTGCACACATGTCAATGGCCCACCGGAGGGAAACATAGTTGAAAACTGGTGATTTCCCCTCTTGCGCGTGAATTAGAATAGTACCGGGCACTTTTTATAAAACTTTTTTGCAAATTAAATTATAAAATGGTGTTAAGAAAGTTTATCAGAAAATTCTTCTTTTGACCGTTTAATTTTGTAACAGCCGAAGGTTCCTGAACGTTGGGAGTTTTTCAAACCGTGATTAATCCTCCATTAATCCTTAAACCGTTTCTCATGGATTAATGTCTGGTAGCGTCTGGAATTTATTTCTTAGACGTACCTAGCGTTCATAACCGAAGGTATAATTACAGATTATTGCAGTAACGTATGAAACCGACGAGTTAATCGTGTTTATGGTAGGTCCCCGAGGCCTATATAAAGCGGTCCAGGACAGTGTGTTTTGCACCCCGCTCTTGAGTTTTCGAGCATTTGTTCCTCCTCTGCGTTTTTCTTCTTCCCTCTCTGTGTTTCTGTGCTACTGGGTTATATTTTTCTACTGTTCAGTTACCCTGTTTTCTGCAGGAAGGGTTCGTTTAATCCTGGGGAGTGCCACCCTCACGTTTACCTACGGTGGCAGAATAACTCTTAAGAACAGTGTCTACCGACACAACTCGGACCTAGCTTATACACACCTCCAGTTTCCTTAACAATCTTAAGAGTTACTATGGAGTCCTGTAATGATGCTGTTGCTGGGAACACTGACCCTACTGTCAACGTTGCCCATGCTCCTGTCTTCATTGCAGTGCCACTACCCAAGCCATTCCCAGATGTCTCCAAGATTGATGTGTTTGATGGAAAGTACTTCAGACGGTGGCAGGAATGTGTGTACACTGTCTTTGACATGCATGGAGTTACTGCTGCTCTTACCCAACCTGAACCCCCCACTGATGCTGACCAGGCCCAAAAGAATGCTTGGGCAAATGCCAACAAGGTTTGCCGAGATACACTCATTAGCACTTTATCTAATGACTTGTTCGATGTCTACTGTGTATACAAGGAGGCACATAAAATATGGGAGTCACTGATCGTGAAGTACATTGCTGAGGATGCTGGAAAGCAAAAGTTCGTGGTTGGAAACTTTTACAAATGGAAGATGGATGAAGAGAAGGATATAAAACATCAAATTAATGAATACCATAAGCTACTGGAAGAGCTCCGAGCTGAGAAGATAAATTTACCAGATGAGTTCGTGGCCGAGGTCCTGATCAAGAAGCTGCCAAACTCATGGAATGACTATAAGCAACAACTGAAGCATAAGCAGAAGCAACTTTCACTATCAGACCTAATCACGCATATCATCATTAAGGACACAAACCGGAAGGCAATCCAGACAGCTAGAGGAAAGGAGTTGGCAACAAAGGCAAATTTGGTAGAAGCAAAGCCGCAGGACAAGAGGTACAACACTAAACCTAGAAATAAAAACTTTGATTACAAGCCTAATGATTCTAACCCCAAATTCAAGAAGAAAGGAGATTGCTTTGTGTGTGGAAAGCCAGGTCACCACGCAGCTCAGTGCAGGAAAAGGGCTGGTAAAAACAATAACCGTAAAGGTAGAAATCCTCCTAAGCCAAACGTAAATTTAGTGGAAGGAGATGACGATGAGATTATTGCTGTTGTCTCCCAAGCCCTTGTGATCTCTGATGTGAGGAAGTGGATGGTAGACTCAGGTGCTACCAGGCACATCTGTGTGAATAAGGACATGTTCACCTCCTTTGAAGAAAGAGAAGACCATATTTATCTGGCTGATTCCCGAACCACAAAAGTTCTGGGAAAAGGAAAAGTTGTCCTGAAACTCACATCTGGAAAGACCTTAGCACTGAATGAAGTTCTGTACATGCCTGATGTTAGAGCTAACCTGATTTCTGTGGCTCTGTTAGGGAAAGCTGGGGTTAAGGTGTCTTTCGAATCTGACAAGATCGTAATGACGAAGAATAATGTTCTTGTTGGGAAAGGCTATTGTAATCAAGGATTGTTTGTACTGAACATTGTTGAAATGAATGGAAATGCTTCTTCTGCTTACTTGCCTGTGTTCTATGTTGATTCTTTTGATATGTAGCATGCTAGATTAGGACACATAAGTAAACCTTATATAAAAAGGCTTTATCATCTAGGGCTAATATCAAGGATTAAAAATAATATTCTTAATAAATGTGAAGTGTGTGCAGAAACAAAACAAACTAAAAAATCACATTTTCCTACTCAAAGAGAAACCGAGTTGTTATCCTTAGTACACACTGATCTAGGTGATTTGAAACAAACTAAGACTAGAGGTGGTAAAAGATATTATGTAACTTTTATCGATAATTTTTCAAGGTATACAAAATTATATTTGTTAAGAAATAAAGACGAGGCTTTTTAAAAATTCTTGTCACATAAAGCTGAGGTAGAAAATCAATTAGACAGAAAAATTAAACGAGTTAGATCTGATAGAGGAGGAGAATTTTTACAATTAAACGAATTTTGTGAAAAAGAAGGAATTATTCATGAGGTAACTCCTCCATATTCCCCAGAATCTAATGGTGTTGCGGAAAGGAAAAATAGAACACTAAAAGAGATGATGAATGCTTTACTTGTAAGCTCTGCTGCACCAAATAACCTTTGGGGAGAAGCCATTTTGTCTGCCTGTTTTCTACAAAATAGAATACCTCATAGGAAAACAAACAAAACTCCTTATGAATTATAGAAAGGATTTGCACCTAGTCTTAATTACTTAAAAGTGTGGGGGTACCTTGCAAAAGTGTTATTACCTGACCCTAAAAAGAGAAAAATAGGTTCTAGAACTGCTGATTGTTTATTTATCGGGTATGCTCAGCAAAGTACCGCCTATCATTTTATGGCTTTAAAAAGTGATGTTTTGGGTCAAAATACCATTATTGAAACTAAATATGCAGAATTTTTTGAACACATTTTTCCTTTGAAAGCTGAGCGTATCCCTAGAGTTGTTGAAAATTCTTCTGAGCAAAACTCAAATGAAAAGTAGTCAAAAGTTTACGGAGAAGTAAAAGGCAAAGAAAGGAAACCTCATTTGGAGATGATTTCTACACTTATCTAGTACAAGATGAACCTAGAAATTTTTATGAAGCGACCTCTTCTCCAAACGCGCCTTTTTGGAAAGAAGCAATTCAGGATAAAATTGATTCTTTGAAACAAAACAAAACTTGGGTTTTAGTTGACTTGCCTCCAGGAGCAAAACCAATTGGCTGTAAATAGGTTTTTAGGAAAAAATATTTTCCTGATGGTTATATCGATAAGTACAAAGCGAGGCTAGTAGCTAAAGGTTTTACACAAAAAGAAAACATTGATTACTTTGATACTTTTTCCCTAGTGACAAGAATTTCTTCTATAAGAATTCTTATTGCTCTGACTTCAATTCATAAACTCTTTAT